CTCGGGCAAGTCAGTTAACCCCTCTGAGTTGCTCTTCTCGAGCATAAATTGGGGACAATATCGACTTGCTTTGCCGGAGCGGTTCACGGCGGAGTGTGAACGAGAGATCTTGCACGCACACAGGTGCTCGGTAAAGTGTTCCTTATGCTACTTTTATTGCTGGTAGTAGCAAAGAGCAAAATTCTTCTAGTTAAAACAAAGGAGTCATAAAGAATGGGCTACCAGCGAGTCTATCAAAGGACAGGAGAGGCCTGGTCCGGCTCCGCGGAAGAAGACGTAAACGGTAGGGCTCACTTGGAAAAGGGAGGCAAGGGAAGCAAGCACGGGAGGGGAGCGCTGGGAGCTACAGGCAGCGTCGAAGACACAGCACTGGACACCTCCGTGTGCCCGGAAGAGACAATCTCTTTTCTAAGAGAGAGACGAGCGGGATTTGTGCGGCGCTTCTATCTCAGGGACAGGCGGCCTCACCCCTGCTCCTGGGCCACCGGCTGAGGGAGCTTGAAGTGGCGGCAGATCCCTGTGGCTCAGCCCCAGCCATGCTCCTCAGACACCAGGACACCCCCTGGTTCAGGGTCCTGGTTTGTAGACAAAGTGGCCGCCTTCCTCCTCCCAGAATGACAGCATTCCGAGCGTCCTGACAGCTTTGCCTTCAGCCCAGCTCAGGCCTGGTGGGGAGTCCGTGACCTTTCAGGTGCCCAAGAGCAGCAGAGGAGCTTAGGGAGGTCAGCGGGGGTCTCAGAGACCACTCCCCGCCCCCGCCTGTGCAGATGGTCCTCTCCAGCCCAGCTCTCCTCCCGCACACCCTCCCCATCCCGAGGCCCCACGGGGAGCCACTCCCCTGCTGAAGCCGGGCCTTCCCACAGCGGAGTGGTAGCATCAGGACACAGACAGAGAAAGCCACCAAGTGATGTTGCCCAGAGTCACAGATTAGCCAGGCCAGCCCTCCAACCCAGATCCCGGCTCTAGCCCAGGATCATCAGCGTGGCTGAGGTCTGTGGCTCGTCAGGATCCAACTTCCATCAGGCGAAGGGCTGCCTCCCGCTGAGTGAAAATGCCCATCCAGGCCCTTCCCCTTGACGGGAGAGCCCTGCCGGTAGAACCCCTCCAGGGCCATCTCTGTCACACCTCCTACGGCTTCCCTTGCTGCCCCTTGTGGAGGCCTTGGTCTCTGAGGTCTGCCCCTTGTGCCCTGAGGTGCCCTTCCAGAACTCACCACCGGGGGGCGGGCAGCGGGGCAGAGACTCCCACTCCAGTCCCTCACCACCACCGTCAGAACCAAGTTTGCATTGTAGTACGGCCAGTCTGCTGTGCTCCTTGCTGGCTCCCAGCCCCGAGTGGGGGCCCCACGCCACAGCTCCGGGATCAGCAGTGTCAGGCTTGAGTGCCATCAGGACCGCGAGAGACCAAGCCTTGCTTCTCGTCTCCCCTGGTGGGTGGGGAGAGAGCCCACAGCATAGCTGCTCACATAAGACGCTCCCTTTTCTTCTTTTCAAGCCCTGGACACCCGGGAGTCTATTTTCCTATTTTCTCATTTTCTAAGCCATCTCTGGTTGATAATAAGTTTAAAGTTACTAAGAAGAGATGCGAGCCCCAACTGTTGGAGCTCAATGAGAGCACAGGGCTGCTGTGCTTATAGTGAACCCGAGCAAGATGCAGCCTCTCTCCAAAGAATAGGGCAGAGCAACATTTGAACGCTCTCCTGCTACAATTACCATAATGAGTTTTCTTTCCAAAAATATAAGACCCAGTTTGCAAGGGGAAGCTTAGCGTTCTAAAGGCAGTGCCCTTCAGACACGGAGCCAGCTGACTCGGGCAGCCTCCCCACCAGATCTAAATTTAGCTGTGGGTTAAATAAGCGAGGGGCCTTTTCATTCCTCTGTTAAATCTCTTCCGTTTACAGGCGGCTCCTGCTCACCCTGGCACGTGAGAGCCGGGGGATATGTAGGCTGTGGCCAGTCCCTCCCAGACCAGGAGCTCCAGCCCCTCTAGTCCAGGCCCACCTTTCCACAGTGGGGCTGGATGGACAGACAGGCTGGGGTTAGAGCCTGTCACATTTCTTGTCTGCTTCTGAGTGACAGGCAAGTGGCCAGAGACATGGCCAACAAGAGACAAGGAGCCACGTGACATCAATCCGTTCTCCGGCTGGCTGCAGTTTAGCATGACTTGAGGTCTCACCCCTAGATAATTCTCATTGGTCAAGGTTGAGGGGTTGGGCGGGGGGGCTCAGCATCAGTAGGTTTTAAATTTTCCTCAGGTGATTCTAATACACAGCTATGATCATTAACCACGGGTCCTGACGACCTTCCAAGTGGATATTAGCACTTCAGGTCCTTAACTCGTCCTCTTCTTAGTAAGCTAGGTGATGCCGGAATTGTCTACAGAGAATATTCATGGTGGTCAAAGCCATGGGCACGTTTTGGGAAACACAGAATGGTAGGGAAGGTTTGAAGGGAGGCCCTGGCTATTGTGTGGGAAGCAGAGGGGTCTGGACATTTCAGTGTCTGAGCTCTTGAATAGGCTGGGATACCAGCAGGCAGTTGGAAAGACTCGAACAACACTTCAGAGCCCCCTTTGCCATACTATCAGCTCATGAATGGAAAAGAAAGACGGAAAATATAGCACAGGGCTGTTCAGATGCCCGCCAGGAACTTCACCCCGGTCCCTCAGCGCCGGGAGGAGGTGCCATGAGGACGGAATTGCATGCAGCATGTGGCCAAGGTTCTGAGTCAGACCACCTTCCACTGCCCGACAGTTCCATTACTTTTAGCTTTGTGTCGGGCTAACTACTTACTCTCCCTGCACCTCGTTTCCTCATGAGGTTATCAGTGATGAAATGAGTTAATGCATTTCAAGCTTGGGGTCTATGTTTGGGGTGGGGAATTCCCTCAGCTGAAGCAGGGCCCGGCACCAGTGAGAGACAGGAGTCCTGGGGCCGACGGGGGATCCAGCAGGGCACAGAGCATGCCGGGCGGCAGGGATGCAGCAGCCTGACCTAGCTGAACTGCAAATATCTGGAAGGCATTATTAGCCCTCCTTCTGCATAAGAACATGAGACTCAGAGAAATGAGGTGACCTGCCGTCACATACCAGAGCTCACTCCCTGCTCTGCCCATCCTCGGGTCCACCTTCCAGGCAAGCCAAGCTATGAAGTTTGAGCGTGACTGAGGACCAGTGCAGCCCTTTCTTATTCTGCTTTGTTTTCAGAGAGACGGGTTTGAGATAACTGTTAGGAGCTTTTTACAGCAAGAAAGACATCAGATTATCTCCCATCTTTAACATTTATGGTCAACATCTAAATACCAACATAAAGACCAACTCAATCTTCTAGAGTATCTATGCAGTTGGAATGAATCTGGAACGTATTCCTTCTCCCCCCTCCCCATAGACACTGCTCAAACTTTGCAAATTTGATTTCTGGTGAGGACAAGAGTCCGATCAGAGCAACGTAGTTTAGATGAAGGACCCCCCTCCACAGAAGCATTGCACAGCGGAGACCCACAATTCACTGCAGGCCTTGAGCAAGTCACTTCAGCCCTCTGGCCCTCGGTTTATTTATCTAGAGAGTCATGGTGTTATATTGGTGTCTAGGGCCTATAATGCTGCAATTTGAAAAAAAAAAAAAATTTCTGGTTGGATCCCATTAAAATGGACGATGTTATCTCAGAATACTGCCCACTTTATGTTTTTTCAGTCGCCTGAAATGACAGAAGGTAATTGTAAGGTTCGAGAAAACCCAAGTGACCAGTAGGCGTGCCTCATGGGAGTGGCTTGATCAATGCCATCTGGTACAGCTGGTGCCCTCAGAGTTCTAGGAAGGCCTTTCTGGCCTGTGGGTCTCTCTGCACAGGTGTTACCTAAGTGGGGAGAAAAATGTTGACCCCTTTCCTCTGAAAGCATTCCAGAGGCTTGTGTAAGCCATTCCCAAGTTTTAGGCGCTACCAAAGGTTTGGACAAGGAACTCGGTCCAGGAGTAGACAACTGGTCAAAAGTCAGGGGAGTGGGCTATGAAGCCGATAAATCGTATCCAGAGATGATGAAAACTTCTTTTTATTTTTGTTCGAGCACTCTGTAGCTGCACCCATAGGAGTAGAAATGAGGTGAAGCCAGTGATGAGGATGATGGCATGGACGGTAAGGTAAAGCGATGTTATTCGTAGAGGGTGGGCCCGACCAGCTACTGCCCAGACCGCTGCTGTGGCTTGAATCTGGCGTGAGGGTCTCACGACAGCAAAGTCCAGAACTTCCATTCCGAGCCTCCACCTTCAAGCACCCACTTCTGCCGTGGGAGCAAGTGCCAGCGAGTCATGCATTGGGGTCTTATGCCCCTGTGCAGAGGACACCCCTTCTGTGTTGGTTTTCCTGAGGACGTTGCCATCCACACCCTTGCTACGAGGGGCTACAGGCAAATTAGTGACCCCTCAACAGGACAGGTGCCCAGAGCGGCTCTGTTAGCCCACCCACCTGGTTATCCAGATTCCAGATATGCAACTCTGCCACGCTTAGTAGGTGATGTTGACGAGTGTGGGGGCCCCCGATTCAGTAGGCACCTCATGTGCTCACATGGATCTGGCTGTGGCCTCACAATTATGATTCACATAGTGTAACACTAACGAGCAGGGAGGAGGTAACATTTCTTGGGCCTCACTATGTATCTCACAGAGCCTCGCACACACAACCTCACGTAACTCAACAACCTGTGACGTAAACAATACAACGCTCGTTTTACACTGACTAAGGCTCAGAGAGGTGGAGTGCTGTGAGCAAAACTGCGTCACTAACTCGAGACGTCCTTCCTCCGTCCACGGACATCCGCTCCCACCACTAACCATTCCACACACACTCTCCCTCTCAGATGCAGCCCTCCCCACCACCACACCAACATGTCTTTATTCACTGTGCTCTATCCAGAAAAGGCAGTTCAAAGTAAAAGATGAAAAGTCTCTCTTAGTCAACGAGAGAGTACGTTAACCAGCCACTGCAAGAAAGAAAAAGCGTAAACGAGGCTCGTCACTTATGGACAGCTTTATTCGCCGTTCGTTGGAACCACTGAGAACAGTCGACAGGTACGCATGATGCCGCTGGAAGAGCATTTGGCTCCAGGGCTCCTTCCCACCGGGTGGCCGAGGAATCGTGGCCACGCAGGGCCGGGCCGGGCTCACACCCAGTGCTGGCCCGCGCTGAGCGCCGCGCTGAAGGTTCGCAAGGCCCGGTGCGTCCCCCTCACGGCCAGAAGGAGCGACCCCGCTTCGGCTTCATGGCCGGCCTCCCGCAGGTGTCTGGCCAGCCCCTCGGCATCCCAGGGCCCTTGCTGCGGGCTGGCCAAGAGGTGCTCAATGATATGTGGGTAGAAGGCAGTGGAGACACACTTCACCAGCAGCCTGGCATCCAGGAGCAGGGACAGAAGCTCTTGGTCACAGTTTGAGTCATTCACCTTTAAGAAAGGAGACAGGCAAAACATGAGCGTGGCCTTGCTTAGTTCCCGCCAGCGAACTCATCACGCACACCCTCCACTGCTCGCTACCCACTGCCTTTCTGCCTTCGCCACCCTAGCCCCCGCCGCCCGGGTTCACGGTGCTCACGCCGAAAAGAGTGCCCGCATGGACTGAGTGTCCGCCATCACGCACACAGCCTCATACACACAGCCCCATACCAAGAACCCTGAGTCGTGGCAACAGCTACCAAATACTGAGTGCCAGAAACTGCCACGTGTGTGCACGCCTCCCAATTCAACCCGAGCAGTCACAGGTGAGGGAAAGGCGGTGTAAGGACTTGGCCTCACATCATGGCAGGTCAGGGAGCCAGGACAGGAGCTGGGCTTTCAACAGCGGCATTTACCATCTCACTGGTGCTGCCCCATGGTCCATATCCTTGAGCCCCAAACCTCTCCTGTACGTAGATCCACATGAAAAACATTCCCTCCAGAACAGGAAAACCATTTTTCTACTCCACTGAGAAAACACATCCGTCAATCCTGCTGATGTAAATAGGGTAACAGACAGGAGGGCTGTAGGCTGTTCTTGCTTAGCCTCTAGAAAGCTCAGTAGCAAATTTACCTTTTTAAGACTTTTTAAAAAAAGATTTATTTTAGAGACAGAGAGCTTGTGCGTGCAAGCCCACAAGCGGGAAAAGGGAGACAGAATCTTCAAGCCGTCTCCACACTGAGCACAGAGCCCGATGTAGGGTTCAATCTCATGACCCTGAGATCATGACCTGAGCTGAAATCAAGAATCGGAAGCTCAACCGACTGAGCCACCCAAGTGCCCCTTTAAGACATTTTTATATAGCTTCAGGACCTGTTTTACAGGCTCTTTCAGCTTGGATATCCTCTGCGTTTCTGCCCTCATCTGCTTAGGCTCTGTATGGTTTTCCATGGCTTTGACACTCTGCTTATGCTTTTCCATTTAATATTATTGTCTGTATTTTTTGTAAGTAATCAAGTCGACATTAATCACACTCAGAACTCCGAGCCCCTCATCTACATCAGGGTGTCACAGAACAGCTTCATGACGGTTCTTCTTAATGTTACCGTGCACTTTTAGTTTTGGTTGTAGGCACCTCCGAAAGGATGTGGCATTTCAAAGCCAATTAACTAATGTGTAGACCAACTATGTTATACAACTGAACACAGTGTGGTCTTCCCACATGTTCTGTGACAAGGAGAAAAGGCTCCTGAGGATGAGGTCAACTGTGTCCACTGACTTCAAGAATGAAAACAAAAGCAGTTCTGGGAACAATAATCACTGCCCACTGTCAGAGAGCGTCTGTCTTTCCTGCAACCTAGTGATCCTTTAAAACCAACATAAACATCCACTCCAAGGCCATCTTCGGGATGACGTTCTCCCTAAATCTCTCGGCCAAGTTGATTCCTCCTTCCTCCACTCCGTGGCACTCCGTGGACTACATGCTCCTCATGTGGTCGTCATCTGTAGGCCTATCTCCCCCGCTGGACTGGGGGCTTCCTGAGGGCACAGAGGTTTGATCCTCCTTCTCGTCCAGCATCCAGTTTAATTCACATTTGCTACACGGCTGAATGAAGCTGCATTATTGCACACTGTCACATTTTTGTAAATGGCACAAGTACATGATAAGAATGCTATCTCTGCAGAGAATCTGAATACAGCTGGATTCTAGAACCTCAGAGTCTCTGCCAACCCTGGGCCTCTCACTCTGACTGCCCCAGCACATGCGGCTCCCCAACCTGTGGCTCAGGAAGACACTTTGGTTGAACTCAATTTAGGAGCTTTTTTTTGTGTTTTTAGAGGCTAGATGAGAGGAGAGGAAAGTGGTAGGAAGGACCAGCTTTGCTGCTGCAAGGGGCACGGGTGCTTTCAACACTCCCCACTGGGGGCTGCTGAGGGGTTCTGCGTATCTTCTTGCCTTCCAGCTTCCTTCCTCCTCCTTCTGCTTCATAGCTGGGAAACAAGTATCTTGAGCCCCTGCGGGTGCTGCCCCCACCACCACCGTGTCTACGCTTACGGAGGGCTGCCCACGTGCCAGTGAACACTTTGTCTCAACCTTAAAGCATCCCTTTAAGACTATTATCTCATTTGAGGGATGAAGAAACCCGTCCAGTGAGGTCACAGTCATGTGTCGAGTGTCACAGGGCTGCTAACTGATGCGCTGGACTGGCAGCTCTCATCCCGAGCCCTCATCCCGGACTTGTCTACTGTTTGTTCGCCTCCAGAACAAAGCTTTCTCTTTGTTTACCCCTGCATCCCTGATGGCCAGAACAGTGTTGGCCACATGCTAGGGGCTTGGCAAGACGTGTGGGATGAACCCACGAACGAATGGGTAATTCTAACGCTCTCGCCCTTTCCCTATAGGCCACTGCCTCTCCACACGCATGCGCGCACGCACACATGGGGCACCTGAGTTACTGTGCATGTTATTGTTCGGTTCACCCTTAAAAGAATCCCTCCACCTAGCCCTCTACAAGGGACCAGAATGTGTGCCAGGATGCTCCAGGCAAATGTTTGATAAAACGTACAGATAAAAGGCTCAGCATCCAAACACTGCAGGGCAATACCTTCTTTGCTAGGCCACCTTTATTATTCTGTTTACTCATGAACCCTCCCTTTAGGGGCCCGAAAAGTCTCCTAGAAAGAGAGTGATGGATTTTTCCAGCGTGAGGAAGAGACAGGGGTTTTGTCAAGGCCTGCAGCTGCTGCTCCTCTCGCTCCCCTCTTCTGTTTGCTTTTCTCCAGGGCAATGACATCCTTAAAATCGGTTTCCTACTGGATGCACCCAGCCTTGCAGAGAGCTGCCGTGTGCTGGCAGGGTGGGAGTCCGTGGCGGGCAAGGCGGGCAGGGACAGGGTGGGCATCCACCTCTAAAAGTTCTCTACGTACTCCCTTGGCTAAGAAAGCCTGAGGCAGAAGTCATGGAAATCAGATACCGAATTTCCCCTTTGGCCCACCCAGAGGTTCCCTCAAGAAAGGCAGAGTCCCAGACTGCTGACCTCTACTGAGCTGGGGCAGGGGCCAGGCCAAAGTCTGGGGGGAAGTTCTGGTTCAGTGACTTGTCATCAGGTGCTAAGAAGATGGAAGTGGCTGACCTGTTTTCCTTTCTCTGACCTTGTACCTGGTTCTGGCTCTTTGCAAAAGGTACAGCATGGCCAGAGTATACTTTATATAATTGTCATGTACAAGGAAAATACTGCACAATTATTCTGGGCATATTTGGGACAAAATAGAGAATGAAAAGAATACAGAAAGAAAGATGGCCTTTGTGGGGACTCGTTCCAACAACTACAGCTTAAAGAAGAGGAGCCTGAGGGTCAGAGAAGAGATGGATTGCCCGAGGTCACCGAGAGCCAAAACTGCTTCTCTCCACACGCCAGGCCTCCTGCCTTGGGGGTGCCAAGGCCAGCTGGGTCGTTGTCCTCAGCCGAGCAGAGCGCCTGGCACCCCCAAGCCTTCCCGGGCACCAACGCCCCACTGCTGAGTTGCCTCAGGAATTCGTTAAGCCTCAACTTTTCTTCATTCTTGTTTTTGGCCAAAATTCTAACTTAAGGCACTAGAAGTCTGGTACTATCTTACCACCCATTACTCCTAACCTACTTTATTTTCCTTTTTGAAACTTAAAAATAAAAAATACTTAAAAATAAAAAACTTAAAAATAAAAAAGCAGAAATAGTTTGAAAAAACAAGTTGTCTATATGTGCACCACCAGAAAATTACTTTTTCCTCCTTTCTTTTCCAGTAATTCTCCATGTGCATGGAGATTTTTTTCACAATCATAGGGTATTTGTAGTCTACTCACGATATGTTAAAAAAAATTTTAATGTTTTTATATAGTTTTCATTCTTAAAAACTGTAATGGCTACAAAATAGTCTACTGAGTGGAGGTAAGTTATTTAACTTCTGCTAGGAATATTTCAGCTGTTTTTAAATGTTTGGTATTATTGAAGTACTACCAATGATTTTTTTTCTGTATGTCCTTTCTTGAAATCACTTCCATAGGATAAATTACCCGAGAATGTGACCCCAGAATGTGACTGCACTTGGAGAAAGAGCCTTTATGGAGGTAATTAGGTTTACCAAGTCACGTGGGTAGATCCTCATCCAATCTGACTGGTGTCCTTATCAAGAGGAAAGGACACCCACATGGACCAAGGGGCAACCATGTGAGGACGCAGGGTGAGGGTGGCTGTCTGCAAGCCAAGGAGAGAGGCCTCAGGAGAAATCAATCCTGCTGACATCTTGATCTTGGACTTCGGCCTCCAGAACTGTGCGGCAGTAAATTTCTGTGATTTGAGTCGCCCGGTCCGTGGCGCTCGGTTACTGTAGCGCACACACACTAATACATGGGAAAGAGTACCTGAAACCTTTTTTGGCGTGGACGTGAATGCAAGTGCAGCCATAGTAAAGTCAACTGTCCGGTTTACAGGGGAAGCATCCACGGAGGACTGTGTCGGTTTCACTGTAAACATCTCAGCTTTGGCGGTTATTATTTTGAAAACAAAATTATTTTGCTAATTTAGGAGATACGTAATGATACCTCAAGGATGCTTTAATTTGAATGTTTATTTGCAAGGACCATTTTTTCCCATACCATTTCCTATCATTTTTATTTTTTCTTGTGGGAAGCATCAAATCCTTTGCTCCTTTACTAGAGTTGTTACATCGTTCTTTCACATGTGAAAGAGTTCTTGTATAACTTAAAATGTTAACCCTGATTTTAGTTATAGTGAACATTCTAAACTGTTTGCAATTCTGTTTTATTTGTTGTTTTATAGGAGTTTTACATTTTTAGAAAAAGAACTGTTCCTTTATGATTTTTTTTCTATTGCTTTAAAACTTAGAAGTTGTAATTCCTCAAATGATCTGATACACATACATTTTTTTCTGAATTTTAAAACTATGTAACTTTTTAACTGTTCAAGAATTCCTTCGGTATATAGTGTGTGGAAAAATACACATCGCTGACATT